GGGCGGCGGGGCTGGGCTCTGTTCGAGCTGGGGCTGAGCTGTGTTTCAGCTTACTGAGCAGGATGCAACCGAGTATATTAATTATAACCACTTTAAAAAAAAAAAAAATCTTGGAGTTTTTTTAATGAGTGGTATTTTTTTTATTTTTCTTCTTGTTAGGTGATTTTGTTGTTGGGGTATATTTTGTTTTAAAGGATTCGTTTAGGAATTGTGTACCCTGAAATAGCAACAGTTTGTGTACACGGAGGAGCCACCGTGAGTCCCGAGACACTCTCCTAAGCTGTTACTTTCGTGATCCTGGTTTTCCGGGACTTTGAGATGGCATACAGTGACCTAAGCCACTATGGCGAGGGCTAATGCTGCTTTTCTCAGCTGAAACTACAGAAGGCTTTTTTTTTCTTCTTCTTCTTCTTCTTCTTTTTTTTTTTTTTCCTTTTGATTTGCAGCTATGTGAAGTGCTTACAATAAGGTTCGTCAGGAGCAATGTCTGGTTGAAAGCAGTAGGAGGAGACAGTACAGCCTGTGGCAAGGTAAATGAACAGCAGCCATAATGTGTATCAATGATCAGTCATATTTGAGATACTCTGCCAGACCAGGCAGTGTTTCTGGGAAGCGCTGCATGCCCTGTAATCCCTGTTGAGCTGCATATATGTTTGCATTAGTTGAGACACGCAGACCTACATATTTCATCTTGGACCCATGGTGTTTTCCACCAAATAAAGCTCCTGCTTTCACAGCTCAAACTAAAGAAAAAACAGCATAAACAAAATTATAAACTTAATTATAAACTTAAATGTATCTTTTTTCCCCTATCACTTTTAATTAATTGCAGGGTTCCGATTTTATTTTCTTACATATTTATGTAACATATTGGTTGGAAGGGAGCTTAAAGACCATCTAGTTCCAAGTCCCCTTCCTAGGGCAAGCACACCTTCCACTAGACTGAGTTGCTCAGTTTCATCCAAACCATCCTTGAGCGCTTCCAGGGATGGGGCATCCACAGCTTCTCTGGGCAACCCGTTTCAGTGCCTCACCACCCTCACAGTGACAAATTTTTTTCTAACTAATCTAAACCTCCTCTCACTTTGAAGCCATTCTCCAGCTCTTTTGTTGGCTCCCTTCAGATACTGGAAGGCTACATTTTTGTCACCCTGAAGTCTCCTCTTTTCCAGGCTGAACAATCCCCAATCCCAATTCCCTCAGCCTTTCCTTGTAGGGGAGATGCTCCAGCCCCTTAATCAACTTTGTGTTCCTCCTCTGGACTTGCTCCAACAGGTCAATGTCCTTCCTGTGTTTGTGATCCCCGAGCAGGATGCAGTACTCCAGGTGTGGCAGTTGTTAAGGAAGAGCAGCCTAGATTATAAATGGTTTTAGAAAATGAATGGTAATTTCTTTAATGTAGAAAAATTGCTGAGTCTGTTGTAATTAATGATTTTGACTTAATTGTGCAAATAACCCACAATACTTAGAGATTACTGTTTCATTGCAAAGAATTTTGGCCTGTGTGCTGACTTGTTTAGCAGGACTGCAGCACTGTTGGAAGATCCAGTTGGTGAAAGCCACTTAAACTCCTAATGCAGTGAAGCTTGCAATTAAGATGCCATTAAACCACACTCTGCCTGCCATAACCTGCATAACCGGCATAACTACCATTTTGCCAGCTGAAACATCAGGCCTTGAGCATTTCAGGGTGCTCCTTCAGAGCCACGTTCCTCGGGCAGGCTACCAGGCCTGATCCGCACTCACCTGGTCCCTGTAGAAAAGATGGAGACGGCGACAGCGCTTGAGATGCTGCCCGGGAGCTTTTAGAGCCCTGGAATGCAGCACTTCCACGAGCATATCGCCACCAGCTGGCTTTTCCTGCTGCCTGCACCCGTGGCTGCTCAGACGAACAGACCTTTTCTCTTCCGTGCTGTTGTGGAGCCCTTTTTTTTGGTTTTAAAGAAGTTATGTAGGAATTGCATACCCTGAAGTAACAATGTTTGGTGTGTGTAGGGAGACCATGGAAGAACTGCCATAACTCCCCAGAGGCTCTCCTGAGATGAGGTATCAATTTGTTTGGTGTTTAACCTCAAGCTTCCCCTCATAGGATTTAGGCAGAAATGGGGCATGTGTGCAGAGACCTTATCTCGCAAGAGCTTTGCAGGAATGTCGAAGTGCTTTCTGGCACTCAAGGGGTCTGGCTTGGGGTGTGTGTGATTGGCTTTGGGATGTGATGGTCCACTGTGTGATAGAGCGGCACAACTCTTCTCCAGCTGAGTATTTTGGTAGTGGAGGGATGGGTAACCTCTGGGAGACAGAAAGCTGACAGGGGAACGCCATGGAAACTTGTCTGATGTGGGAAAGAGTTCCCTTGCGGGGTGTGTTTCTGTCCATTCTGCAGAGTGCCGGCGGTCCGAGGCTGTCCATTGGGCTCTACACCATCCCCAGGCAAACCATTTGCTCCCTGATAGGTAGTTTGCGTTTCCTAATTCATGTGGAAATCCTCACTGTCCAGGAGGATGAATGGCAGTTCTTGGCAAGTATTGTCCCAGAACAGCAACTGGAGCTGCAGAAACATCAGAAGTGCCCCAGCACCTTGCAGTGGATGTTGTTCAGACTGTTTGGAGAGGTGGGTCAGTACCACACGCAGGAGAAGAGAGATGGCTTCTGCAGGTAAGGCAGAAGTGACAGTGGTTTGTGTACCGGTGTACTACGGTCACCTGCAAGAGATGGGACAGTACTGGCCGTTCCAGGGTAGATCGCACTGATGAAGAGAAGGCTTGGGGACATCTTTGAAGCATGTTTCATCATGAATATAATGCCTTTCTTGCACAGAGGAGCCCAGAGCTGGACACAGCACTCCAGATGTGGCCTCAGCAGGGCTGAGCAGAGCAGGATCACTTTCCCTCGCCCTGCTGGCAGCGCTCTCTGACACCTGAAGCTCCGGCGCCGAGCGGCAAAGCCGTGG